ACAAGTCATTGATCAGGAGCTAGTAGTAGAAAGCAGCATTCGTAATACAGCTTGCAGCTATTTCGAGTTAGCTCCTCTCAGCAGGAGTCATCTTCCTGGAAAGGCCCCACGGAGACCAGCTTAAAATAGAAATCATTAGGAGGGAGATGCTCTGCAAAAGCAGCAGTGAGAAAAAACAAAGAACCTCAGAGAAGTTCGGTTTTCTCTGCATCCATCTGATTTTATGTCAAGTGTGCTTTGTGCCTTCATCTGGCAGGGTGTTTGTCTCCCACCTCCTCAGTGGAAGGGAAGAGGTGCAGATTTGTCTTCTGGATGGATGGGCATGAAGAGATGCCTGAGGGGACCTTGTCTACAGCAGACAAGTTTTCCCATTCATTTAGTGCAGCTCTGGTTGGGTGGTTGGGTTTCTTGCAAAATCTGTATTGAATGCAAGCAAAATTTTCAGTGAAAGTTACTTTATTCAATAAGCCTCTAATATAATTATGCCAAGCCTAACAGCTTTTTCACATTCAGAGAGGAATGTTTTGAATAGCCCCTTTCCCTGGCCTGGGAATTCAGCAGTGACTGCTCACACCATCATGGAATTTAAATCATCAGAGAGCATAAGTTTTCTCTGATTTTCCTGCTATAGATAGCATGTCTTCAGTTTAAAATTTAGCAATTAATTTAGGGGAAGGAAATAGAAATCCTGATCCTTTTAAAAAATTACTTCTACAGTGAGTGTGCAGGTAAAGCGATTCACAATTTGCCATAACTGTAAGAGCAAGAAATAAAAAATATATTTCATCTTAATTTTTAGCTGTTTCAACTGTTGCTAACAAACTCACTACCTGCCACAATGTTTTTCCATATTTTTTAAAAAACATGAATGTGATCATTTGCATGTTCTGCTCTGTAGTTGTAGTTGCATGTAAAGTTTATCAAGGCAGCTGATCACAGTCTCACTCAGGAAGTAATTATTGATTTACTGGTCTGGTATCTATCAAACTTACACAGGTCTGTTCATTTAAGAATAAGTACTCAAAATTTATTCCAATCCATTATATAAAAGGCATCCTTTGAGATGTGAATCTGGTTTGAGGGAATCCATCAAAGTGGATAATGTTGCTGACTTCTGAGGAGAACAATTGGTTTAACCGCTCTGATATTTCTAAGGCTTAGTCAGGCTCACATTCAGGGTATGACAGTTCATTTTGTGATAGACATTTGTTAGCACTATTCTGAAACAAATCCAGAGTCTTGTAATGGCAGTCTGGTATCTCATACATCTTACAGCAGTGCTCTAACCACCAGGTGAGAAGTTGCTAAATTCATTTTTTGTTTTCCTCTACTAAGAACTTTATTGAATAAAGAAATATTGTATTTTTCTGCAGAAAAAATTTGGCATCAGCTAAATGAAATCTTGAAAGAAAGAAAAAAAAAAAAAAAACCAAACAAGGCAGTCTGGAATATTTGACCTTAACCTTAGTTTTCTCTGTACAATAGAATTTTGATAACTTTTTAATAACTGCTATCCCAACAGATGAATATTTATAGCGCAGAATCAAACTGGACTCAGTTTGAATAATATAGAAATCACATAATCTGTTTGTTTGATTCATTGTATCAATGTGGTTTTTTTAAAGGTAGGAAAGTGTTTTCACTTCCAAATTGACATCTGCATGGTTTTTTAAAGATAATTACTTTTTTATTTAAAAAAAAAAAAAACCAGCTGTGAGGCATTGATAGAGAGCAACAGATAAGGAAAAAATCAATATGTGACCAATTCATTCATATACATGAAGCACTTCTCTCAAAGTACAGTAACATCTCCTATGAAGGAAGAATAAATTATACATCTCAGCTTAAAGTAAAAGTCCTTCAGCTGAGTATTATATCTATATATATATATATCAGTATAGCACTCTTGAAATAGTATCTTTTAAAGTATTTCCAGTTGCAAGGGTACCTTTTGAGGTACAGAAAGGTAAAATAAGCTTTTGTCTGCACTTGGAGCTTATTTTCCCTCTTCATGTCAGCAACTGACTGCCCTATGAGGTCCCTCCAGCAGTGGGAAGACCTTGGATGAGAGTCCCCAGTGAGGATGCTGTGCCCTGGCACAGCTGTTCACAGGAGAGCAGCTGCAGAGCACATACCATCCTTCTTGCCATCCCTCCTCTTCTTCCCACCTCTCTTTCTGGTCCATGCAGATTTCAAAGGGGGTCCCAGCAGAAGGATGTGATCAAGGAGGCACTCATGCAAAATTACGTTGCCTGTATGCTTCACTCATCTAAAGATTATTTTTTTTTAATTCCTCCGTAGTCACTAGCCAGGCAAGAAGAATGAGCACTAATAAATTTGGGTTCCATTTATTTGAAAGTTAAAAAGCTTTGCGTTCAAAAGGGATGAGGGCAGCAGATTAGAAGCCATATGTGGTTCAAGGACATATTTAAGAAAAGGATTCATTGCCAATTCCACAAGGAATTCTACCTTCCTTCTGTTTCATTGTGCTAGAGAAGGACATCCCAATTTATGCCTTTGTGCCTCAGTTGCTACTTACTGGCTGTATTTCCTACCTTTTTGCTCCTAATCTTTTTTCCTCTGAAACTAATATTAAAATCTGGCATTAATCTTGCTAAAGTAAATATGTGATGATACAAACATTTCTATTAATTTTTACTGCTGGGTAACTATCATATTCCATTCATAAGTTTTTAGAAATTTCTCAATTCACTGGCTCATCAAACACAGTTTCAGCTGGGTTTTACAGTGATGATAAATTATTTTCCTTTTTTTTTTTTTTTAATACTGATTCACAAAACATCTCTAAAGGTTAGTAATAATAGTAGAGTATTTCCACATCATGTGGAATACCTTTCAGCTTTTGTTTTCTTGCTCTTGTTTTCCTGATTTTTTATATTTTCTCCATTAGTCATCAGCAGGTTGGAGGTTTGCTTTGAATTATTTTCTTGGTCCATCTGCTTAGTTCATGTCCATGCCCATGCCAAATTTTTTAATGTATGGTTTAATATATGTGGGGATCACACACTATGGAATACTTTCCTTTCTAATGCTGAGAAATGGAAAAGAGAGTTGAATTCAGTGATTCAGGCTATGGTCAAGCATAGCTGTCTTGCCTATGAAGGCTTTGGACTTCTGATGCTTCACATTTTGGACCTTTTATAAGAAGGAAATCATGCATTCTTTGAAAAGGTGGAAAACAGAATGTAAGTTGCTCTTTTATAAATAAATATTAATATATTTTACTTACCAAATTGAGGGAACATACAATTTAGATATAAAATAAAAAATCAAGTAAAATGTTGTAATAATTATGGATTTTCTCAATTTAAGATGCTACGTATTTGCAGAAAGATCTGGGTTTTTTATTATTTCTGGCCTTCATAATGAAGTGTCTTTCTCATGTAAAATTGTTCAATTGTACAACAATTTGACAACGGTACAACATTGCTGCAGAACATTGCCACTGTAATAGAGTAAATAATGTGTGCTAAATAATGTGAGCATAGATCTCCTGGTTCAGGCAGACTGCTTATGCAAAACTGAGTTATGGTACCTTCGCTGATGCTCTTGACCTTGATCACATCACCTTGACTTCTGTCAGCTATTGCTTGTCATGGTTCTAGACTCTTTCATTCCTTTTACATCTCAGATTGCTTTTTAGTGGTTCATTTAGTATTTAGGTATGGATCCTTTCTCCTCTTTGCCCTTTCCGTTCCTCCTTTATAGCCATTACTGATTTCTGGCCCGACTCAATTTCAAACTTGTGTTTATACACAAGTTTTAAATCTACCTCTCCACTTCCAATCTTTCTTCTTGCCCTGTCTCCCACATCTCATTATATTGTTATTTATTCTGTAAACACAAAACTCATACCAAATTACTCAATGCTTTTACTTGAAACATCATATTGTGTCAGAGTTGGCAGTGTCATCATATCTGTCCTTGTCAGGATCATCTGTTAACAGCAGTTCTGGCTTTTCACTGATTTGGGCCCTGAATATGCAGGATGTTGTTAAAAACAAACAAATGCAATGCAGGTGTGGATTATTTGTACAAAGCTCTAATTGTGAAGTACCTGGATACAGATACTCATGAGCAGCAAAGCATTCTTCCCAGATGAGTGTCACTGAGGGATTTGGGCTCAGTCTGTGTATGTAAGACAGGAGTGGCACAAAGAAGTATCCTGTCATTTTCAGTTGACGATACCATCTCATTCTGCCAATCTGTCTCTAGAAATCTCTGCTGTTTTCTTATAGACTGGGAAAGCAGGAGCTGGGAGGCCAGAGAATGAACTGAATCTGCAGTTATTTGAATCTCCAGAGTTATCTGGGCTGTGTTGGCATGTAGCATTGCTCGGGGTTGTTTTCTTGCAAACACGCTATACCAGGGTAGTGAAATGCCTCCTTGAAGTACCATGCTGTGGGTATGGAAGGCAAGAGTCTCCAGAAGTGTTGGTACTACCCTGCTCCTTCTGTCAAATAAGTTTTGCTCAGCCCTGGGTCTTGTACCTAAAAGAAGAGAATAGAAGGGGAATTAAACTTTTTGTAGTCCTTCTATGAAGAAGAGTATTCAAGCATCTGCCATGGCCATGGGATCAAGATGAACATTGCTATGCTTCTACGTAAACCTTCCTGTGAGATGCAGCAAATTTCTCTGTTTCTGAATGCTTTCCAAAGCATTTTCAGGTTCAAAATTTTATGTAGCACAGAGGCTGATGTGGTCTTCTAGGGGCCAGTAGTAGCCTGAGTTTCTTGGTACACAGGGGCAACAGAAAACCTGCAGAGCAGAGCATTGCTGGAGGCTTCCTGGCAGCAGTGCCAGGCTCAGGCTGTCCTCACCTGTGCAGATAATAAGATTGTCAGTCTCTAGGTTTGGGTACAGAATTGTGTTTGCAGGTCACAGAAGTTTGTTTTGAAAGCATCAGTCAACAGTAAGTAGCAGCATGTTTGAGTTTATTTAAAATGTTTTTTCTTTCTATCTTTCTTTTGATGTTACAGGAAATATTCAGGAAGTCATTTTGCAAGAACGCTTGGAAAAAGAAGATGAAATTCTGGTTTCCTTGGCTGGCTTGAAGCAGGTATTACTATTGCTTAGCTTAACCTTCTTGTGCCCTTCAGAACTATTAATCCTTTCTCCTTTTTTCTCCTATTTTATTCTTTCTGTATACTACTGGTTTGTGTTCTTGTAGCTGTTTTACTGGTTCATCAAACCTTGTGGTGTGTTTTTATTTGTAACAATAAAACTCAGCTATAAAGAGTTCAAACAACTTGCGCAGTATTTGCTCCTGTGGAGGTTTTGGAGGCCTCAGATCACAACTAAAGAAGTGCAACACCAAGTGCTGGACTTCAGCCACACTATCATTTTTCGTAATGCAAAATGTACTTGCTAGACAACAACTACGCCCATGTCCCCATTATTTCATTGTGGCAACACTTGAATATCATTGAATTAAAGGAAAAAATACTACATATATAAAATGAGAATGCTAGCATCTGTGGCTCTGATTATACTGCCCTCTGCTCCCTCAAAATACATTTTATTAAGAGCAATGTGACATATTTTAAACCTGTAATGAGGCAGGGACTAATCTTAACAGTTTTATTCCCTTTCAGTTTCTTGGATAGTTGTTTTCCAGACCCCAATAAAAAACACATTTCACTGTTATTTCTATCTTTAATCAATATAGGTATGAATATTGACTTACTTCCTGTCTTTGCAAAGCAAATATTTTTAGGGAAATGCTGTATGAAAGCAGTCTGCACAGGGCTTTAGAAAATGTAGAGTTCCTCCTAGTTTTTAACTTACAAGCTTTCCCTTTCTATTCAACAACAGATCAAGGATATCCTGAAAGGTTCCTTGCGTTTCAACCAGAGCCAGCTGGAAGCTGAAGAAAATGAGCAAATCACTATTGCTGATGATCATTACTGTTCCAATAACCAGAACAAAGGGGCAAGTGATGTCCTAAAGGGACCTGTAATGACAAAGCAGCAGTTCATCTCAGCACAACAGGTAACATCTCAAGCAGGCCATTGATGGCCTTCCATTTTTTGGAGACTTCCTCTAGCAGACATTATGTGGGAAACACCAGCATTCCTGGTCCATAGGGAGAGTGGGTTAAAAGTGTCTCTCTAGCTACTGCCCTACTCTGATTAATTATTTTTATTGTAGCCTTATGCTCCACACACAGATATTTAAGTCTAAGTGTTAGGCAGTGTTTGGGGGGAGTTCTTTCACACTGTTGAATCACAGAATCACAGATTAATTTCCTACAAAAAAATGCAAAAATTGCAGGTAAATGTTCCCATACCAAATGTTCCCACATGGTTATTCTCATTGTCCTTGTCCTCCAGGATCCCATTATGTAAGAGCTGATTAACTGCATTGCAGGGTATTCATGGCCTGTGCCAAAAAGGAAATAGCAAGGAGGTTGCTTTTACCTTCTACTTCATTGTATTGACTTTCTCCTTGAATCTGTAAACAATGTTTTCACATACAAAACATACAGTCATAGGACAAGTTCATAGACGAAGGGCCCTCTCTAACGGTCAGTCCAACCCAAACGTGATCTTAAAAATAAATACTTTTGTGCCTGCTCATTTCTGTGTTGGAGTTCTATTAAGTCTGCCACCCTGCTGCTGATAACTCACACTCATAAATCAGTGGCAGTACTGTCACCTCAAAGTCTTAACTGAGTCTGCAGTCAGTTCACTTTTGACAAGTGTACTTAGGAACTGCAGGAAATATTTATTCATTTTCAAATAATGATGCAGAGTAATTTTAATTTATTAGACACGATCCCCCTGAGTTAGAACACTATATTAAAAATATATATTTTAATTGTACTTTGGTATTAGAGGCAATACCAAGATTTATTTTTTTTATACTGAGTATTGGTGAAGAACAAAGCTTTGCTAGAGAGTTTTCATTGCTTGCTTAGCTGTTGTCATTACAATCACTATTTTCTGCCATAATAAAGGTATAGGTTAAACTGATACAGCATATTGGACTGTTGATATAATGGCTTCCTATTTTTCCCCTTGATCTCCTAGCATTTTATATTAAATACCTTTTGTTTTCTTTCCAAAATGGTAAATAATGTTTTTTGATGATTTTTTTACATCAAGAAGCTAGAAGGCAGAATGCCATATAACATGGCAGCAAGCTCTGTGTGTGTGTGTGTGTGTGTGTGTGTGTGTGTGTGTGTGTGTGTGTGTGTGAGAGAGAGAGAGAGCAGACCCTACTGATGGTGGAGAAGCCTTACTCAGAGGCTGGTCTAAACCATGTATCGTGGACGTGGTGGGACTCTTTGGGTATTGAGAGTGGAGCAAGTGAAGCCTGGTCTGCACAGATTTCTCTCCAGTGCAGATTTTCAGGGTGATGTACAAGGAGGTCTGGGCTTATCCCAGTGTGTAGTTAGGGTATCTACATCCAGCCCCAGGAACTGAGTGGCATCCATGGCTCCCACAATTTCAAGGCTGCTCATAAGTCAACTATGAGCAATGTGAGTAGAGATTGTACAAGCTAAGCTGCTGCAGAGCATTAATGAGGCATTAGCACTGCATGGTTTATGTTTGGAGGTGCAGTACATTCATATGGATTAGCCTACTCTCCTCTTACCTTCTGTAACTTCCAATTATGATAATGAGCAACAGCACCTCTGATGGAAAGAAAAAGATCAGTGTTAGAAATGGTACTCTAGGAGGACTGGTGGTATCCTTAGTTAATTTGGGATATTTTGTCTGTCTGTGTAACTACCCCCTAGTTATCTGTGCTGTTTCCAAGCCCTCAGTCTTTAACCACCAAACATAAAAATGAACAAAAAGAGGAGAGCTCTGGACCCCTTTTAATAAAACACAGGACAATAGAACTGCGGAATACTGGACTGTGAAATTAAAGTGTTAATTGATAGGCTCAGTTGTTGGCCCAAACCAGGGCACAGCCCAGGCTTTTAGCTCTGCTGAAAAAAGAGGGCTGCACTGGTGCCCTGGGTCATGCTGGGAGTACTTACAGAGAGCTGCAGGGGGATTAAAAAACAACCACTTCTAGGCATTTTAATGCATTTCTTGCTAAATAAATTTCTACTCTATTTGCATTTTCTGCGACTTTGATAATGCCTGTAATTCTATTTGGTGTGATTTGTACTGTAGGGATAGTTCTTTGCTGGAGTTATAAGATTATTTTCTAGGATACCTGAAACACTTACAGGTGTAGCTTTTTCTATAAATGAGATTAAAATCTGGTCTTTTGTGCCTGGTTGTTATATAAGAATAAACAAACTATTTATCATCATAGCTTTTTTAAAAAGTATTATTCCTCTTTCTTTGTGTCAAAATCCCTTTCTGCAAAATGAGGATAAGGATATAGCCCTTCTTTAGAAAGGAAAGCTGCAAAATTAAAAATGCAAAAAAAATTAAGATAAAGGCTAAAAGGAATCAAGCATTTTTTGGAATGTTTGGCTTTGGTAGCAGCATGCAGTTGACAAACAGAAGGCTTCTGTTGCTAAATAATGAATGATAATTAACACATTATCTTGCCTTTATGTCTGTTCAAAGAAGGAGGCAAAATGAGCTGCTGTTCTTCTAAGCTTTCTTGATTTGTATCCTTGCAGTTAGTTTTAACTCATTCACAGTGTGAAGGCAAATGAAATAAGCCTGGTCCTAGTAGCTGATATTCATCAGGAAAAATTGTTTGGAGAAGCCATATGGCAACGGGCGTAAGGTTGTTAACTTCCAAAGCTACTGGAAGTATAATTCTGTCATTTTCCATTTATTCAGTAGTGGCAGCAGATGGGAGAAAACATGCTTCACGTCAGCATGAGTTTCCTGAAACAGAAACAGGCAAAAGAAGAAGGAAGGAGGTATTTTACCTCTGGAAATATCAGTTCCAAAATACAAGTGTATGCTAGGGATAGGCAAAGATTTACAGGCAGCCCTTTTATAGGATTTTGGGGTCAATATCTCTGCTTTGCTGCTTCTCTGTTACTTCAGTGAGCCATAGGTCTCCTTAACCAAACCAAAAAGTGTGGGTGGCATGAAGAGTACTGTTGGGAAGCTCAACATTAACAACAAGAAACTGGGATGGGTGGTTTTCTGTATTAAAAAGCAGGATGCTTTTTCAGCTGCACTAGGGAATGCTCTTGAAAGCAGAATTTGGGAAACTGGGGAGTGCCAGAAATAAAAATACTGATCTTGCTGGGCAAGTGTTTCACTAAGTAAGGTCTGTGTCACCCCACGCAAGGTGGAGGTGTGAGGGCTGTGAGGACTGAAATAAAGGATTCTTGATAGCTTGGAATAATAGTGTATAATTTTGAAAAATGAGGCAGTACTGCATTCCCTGAGAGCTTTTAAATAGAAGTGTGGAAAGAGGCCAGGTGAATTATGTGTCAGTGGTTGTTTAGAGGAATGTGTATTTCTGTTGTACAGGGTGGGGGGATGGGAACAAAGTTCTGAAATTTTGACTATGGTATTTAGAGCTCCCAAAAAAGTATCAATACAGGTTGGAAGATTAGGGATTGAAAACAGCCCTGCGTGAGAAGGACTAGGGAATACTAGTGGATGAGAGGCTGGACATTTCCCAAATGGGCACTCGAGCCCAGAAATCCAACTGTACTCTGGGCTGCATCCAAAGCAGTGAGGCCAGCAGATCAAAGGTGGTGATTCTGCCCCTCTGCTCCCCTCTGGTGAGACCCCCCTGGAGCTGGGGGCCCCAGCACAGAAAGGACATGGGCCTTTGGATCAAGTCCAGAGCAGTGTGACAAAGATGATTAGAGGGATGGAGCACCTCTCCTATGAAGACAGGCTGAGAGAGTTGATGATTTTCAGCCTGGAGAAGAGAAGGCTCCAGGGAGACCTAATTGTCACTGTTTCGTACTGAAGGGGGGCCTTAAATGAGAGATAGAGACAAATTTCTTAGCAGGGCCTGTTGCAATAGGACAAGGGGCAATGATTTTTAACTAAAAGAGGGTTGGTTTAGATTAGATCTAAGGAAGAATTTTTTTTTTTTTGTGATGAGGATGGTGTGATACATTGGAACAGGTTTCCCAGATAGGTGGTGGTGCCCCATCCCTGAAAACATTGATGGTCCAGTTGGACAGGGCTCTCAGCAGTCTGCTCTAGTTGAAGATGTTGCTGTGCTTCACTGTGGGAGTTGGACTATGTGACCTTTAAAGGTCCTTCCAACCCAAACTATTCTGTGATTCTGTGTTGGTGGAGCCTGTTGGTTGTGCGCTGCCTGTGTCCTCAGCCCCCTGGTGATGGCAGCTGACTCACTGACAGCTCATGAAGACAGCATTTCAAACAGACAAGATGAATACCAAAGGCTACTTGCTAACAAATGATGCCTCAGCTCAGAAGTGTTTAAACAGTGAAGTATCTCTCCGAGTAGGATAGAACTCTGTGGTTTTAACTTCATGGAAACTGCTTGAAGTTTCTGACATTTGAAATACTCTGGTTCTGCATGTGTCAGGAGGGTTGGAGATCAATTTTGATAACACTCAGAAAAGGCTAGTTGTTGATCTTTCTAAAACCAATCTGTTGGGTTTTGTATTAATTTTATTAAGACTTCTGTGAAAAGGGAGTTACTAACAAAAATAATAGATGTCAATTTCTATCAGTGTTATGACTGTCTTACATTGGGACAGGTAAAATTTTGGACTCAAGATACTTCCATTTGAATTATGAAGTATTAAAATTAGTTCATTACAAAACAGAATATGAAATGTCATTAAACCTATAGTAATATTAATTATATAATATCATTAGACCTGCATACTTGTAGATAACACACAAAAGTTATAAATTATGAGAACGAGATATTCCAGAATTTTCTAGAAAGGGAGATATTTGAATCCTTATTAATATAAATTTGGGTAAAATTCTGTATTTTAATATATTTTTCCCATTCAGCTGATATTTATTGTGACTTGTGACAATTTTTAATGACTATGCAAATGACAACCATAGACTTCCAGCTCCCTCATTTCATTCTTACAGTCATTCATAATCACAGGTGGATTTTGCTTCCTGAGCTACAAGAACATTCTGATCTATATTCAGTAATCAAAACAAGAAAATAATTTTCAGCTGTAATAATAAATTTTCCTAAATTAATTTTGCTGGTGGTCATGGATTCTCTAACTGCAGTTGTGGCTGATGCTTGTAGTACTCCAGTTTTATATACCATACTGTAGACTCATCTTTATCTCATTCAGATTATTCCTGTTTTTTTTCTTTTCTGTAACCGCTTGCCTTTTTTTTTCTTTTTTCTTTTTTTTTGTGGAAAGGCCACAGGTGTAGGGCTTGTATTGCCATAAATGAGGGTTCACATTTCCCTTTACTTTTCCTTTTTCTCAGTTTTGCATTCATGTAAGCAAATATATTGGTTTTGGCATCACACCACTTCAGGATGCTTGTACCTACAGGCTGTTTGGCAGGTTGCATTATTAATCTGAAAAAAACCTGTGTGGAATCAACGAAGAAAGCAGTCATGTTCTTGCCAGGGGAGCATAGCACTAGACAGGAGCTGAATGCAGCTCTTGCAGCAGGAGACAAAGTGTTGTCCATTTGAGTTGCAACCAAGCTAAAAGGCTGCCAGTTGTCAACAAGTCAGAAATCCCACTCCACTGTGTATGGCAGTCTCCCTTTCTAATTACATATAGCTCTGACTGGAAAAACTGGGATTCTGAGTGTGGCTAGTATAATGGGATATAAGATTGAGGCTTCATAGAGTTTTCTGATGCTCTGATGTATGGTCTTGAGCTACTACCTAAGTGCTCAGGGACACATATTTCCCAAGGTCTAACCAGACAAAATTGGGATTCCCAGACCCTCATTTTCTGGAAGAGTTGAGTCAACAACACTAACCCTGAAAGCTCTGGGAGCCCTGATTTTTTGAACCCAAGCTGGTGCACACTAAACCAGGTCTGTGGGTGGTTCAGATTTCACAAGTCAGGGTTTTACTCGGAAATTTTATATCAAACTATTCTCCTGACAAGCTCCAAAATGCTATTGTACATGCAAACCAGCAAAAAATTTCTCAAAACTACTTCACTAAATGCTACAGGAACCTACTGTAATTGCTTAAAATCTTTGCAGCTGTAATATCTTTTATGCTTGGCTGCTGTGGTCACTATGTGGATGCACTGTGATGAGACATATAAGGCTGTGAGTCCCTTCCAGCTCAGAATATTCTGTGATTCTGTGAAATAACAAATTATGTTATCCAAAGTTAATATCCACTGTATTTTTCACTTTGTTTAGTCATTGCCACTTCTGGATAATAATTATTCCTTTGTCCCATTCCCATATGCCTGACATTCTTCATAAACCTCATTATATGATAATACTGGTGCTTACTTCAAGTCCTTTCTGTGCCATTGTTTCACAGACTACAACTGACCCAAGCACTAGTGAGAGCAAGAGTGCTGATGACTATATTATGGTTTCCAAAGAAGAGGAGAGAAGTAAAAGTGCTGCTCCAGAGCCGGTGCAGGCCCTTCAGGCGCACAAGGAGGCAGCGGTGAAGCCAGAAGCTCCATCTCGTTCTTCTTTGATATTTTCTGACCCTCTGATGGCTTCCATTTCAGCCTCCTCCAGCAACCTGAGCTCCAGCCCTGATGACGACAGTAGTAATAACAGCAAAGATTCTGACTTTGCTATTGTTAGCCCACTGGACATCTAAAGAAACAGGTTGGGAGAGTTTGGGAAATCTGTCATTACAACTCAGCTCTAATTTCTATGAATCCACGGGTTGGATAGTTCTTTGTATTACAAGGACAGAAAAAAGATAAAGGTAGCCCATTTCAGGTGTCAAAAGCCTAAATTAAAATAAAAAGGCAAGCAAACAAACAAAAGAAGACATAAATTTGCTACTTTAAAAAAATTATATATACATTTTAATAACTGCCTTAAAGAAAGACCCAGTAAAACATAGTTCTAATATAAAGTTATTAATTATGCTGTTATCCTACTTAGGAGCTTTGTTACTATAGAACTGTTGCTTTCCAAAAACATAAGAGTAGTATATGCTAGGTACCATAATGGAAATGTGTGGATACTTGGCATCAGACAGCAGCAAAGACAGGCTAGGTTTAATATTATCCTTTTACAAAATATGCTTGACTGGGTTTTCTGTATAAGAAAGGGTACTGTTTCTTCAGAGACTGTGATTAGAGAAGTAGGGAATGAGTATCAAAAAGATTAAAAGCATCATCCTGGTAGGAAGTTTGTTCTCGCTTGAGGAATCCTAGTTTCTTCATTTTCATCCTGCAATGGCCTGAGGTGTGTTCAGGGCAGAGGTTTGTGTAGTTGTTCCTCAGTGCTTACAGGAGACTTATGTGACAAAACTCCTTGAGAACGGGGACCTACACAACAGAGCCTTATTTGCCTTTCTCTAATTTTTCCCCTTGAGAGTTCCCAGTTCATCTCTTTCATTCTTTATCTTTGTCTACTTTTACTTCCCCTGGCATGATTTTTTAAATTTTACTCAGACTACCCCAGTTAAAAAGTAGGTGCAAGGGAAATAACAGTATTTCATAGTGTAGATCTGAGCTGGTTGAACTAAAGCTAGCCCGAGTATGATAACTTACCAGGGAAGGTTGCAAAGTGAAGTGAAACGTTCATAATTAAAAGCACTTTATGTCTCATTGCTATTATCTTCTATAGACTCTGTTTACATATATTCCTATATGATTTCTGTATTTCTAATCACAAGAAACATAATGGTGCAGCAGCGTTAACCAACAGAAAGTTTCTAATTAACTCTGTTACTTATTCTTCTATGGAAAAGTGTATTTTCTTCCCATCAAGTCCACAGTACATTTAGTAACAGCTTTTTTCAAGTAGATAAGGGAGGGCTTTCTGTACTTTCTAATTTGTTTAACCTCTGTTGGAATTCACAAAACAAAACTGGTGGTGAGTAGACCGCTCCTCTTGCAGGAGCTACACAGTTAGCTTTAGGAAAGAACATTAGTATGTCACTCTGTCACAGCAGCAAAAAAAAAAAGCATTATTTGCTTTTAAGATGCATATACATTATACCATGCAATAACTTCCTATTTGCATGGCAAAGCTTGTGTTTGTTCAAAGTTATGAAATTGTAGTTATTTGCTGCTTAGTCTGTAACTGTAAATTAAGTACTGTATCCCAAAGATGAGGTGACATGTAATTTGCTGGTCTTAGATTTTAAAGATCTGTGTCAGTGACTGAAGAGTTAATTGTCATGTAATTAGATGGTAGCTACCATCCTTACATGTTCAAAAGCCACCATGTAGTTCTTCGGAGATTATTTGTGCCTTGTAAAATGTTAAAATAGTAGAAAGTTGTGAGCAGGCATAGCATCGCACCTCTCTGCAACAGAGTGATGCAAACAGTCAGATGACTATTTAGATGAAAGATCTTAACATTTTGGAGAGGTGTTTATTTTGGTTTCATTTTAAGCTTCATGAAAGATCACTTTGGAATTAAGTATGCATGCCTGTCTCCAGTTTATTTTATTACCCTGAGTTTGTATGAATGCCAGGGGATTGGGTGGCTGGTTGATTTACTTAGGTCTTTCAAGCTTTTCTAGCCTTAACATATGCAGCAAGGCTTGTGGCTCCATCAGCAAAAGATGGCTGTTGAAGAAGTACCTGTGGAAAGAGGAAGGAAATATTCTGGAGACAGCAAGAAAAGTTTTATATTCTGTGATACATGAACCTTCAAAGATTCCAGTAGCTTGGCAGGAGAAAATGTTTTTACTTCTTTTTTATTTTTTTAAGCATCAGTCTTTTGATTTCTATTCTAGTAGGTTGTTTCAGGGATCACATTGCTATTTTCTTGAACAGTCTCATTGCCAATGGAAGAGTGTGATTTGTACAGGTTTTTTATTTTTGTAAATGAGTTGTATCTTTAATCTTGCATATTTTAAAAAGTAGTGAAAGTATATAAAGATTTTGGGAAGTTTCTAAGAAGAATCAGTGAATACCTATAAGCTGAATGCGTATCATGCCATGTGATATGATAAAAATCTTCCAAAGCAGAGAGATGATTATACAAATAAGATCAGAGTAACTCCAGTAAATGAATCTGGTTTGGTTGTACCATGTCCTTTTACATCTAAAATATGTTTTCTCTGAAATTTTATCATAGTGCAGAGATAATTAAAAGTATTTTATTATATTCATTAAGTTAAAAACTCGTGAGTTAGATAAAATGTCAGATCATCACCCTGTTTTGTGTTATGTTAAGAATATACTGAAAGAGAAATTGTCATTTAAAATACAAGATTACTCTTTTTCTCTGGAAATGACCTGCTCGTAATGTTCATGGATAACAATAATCAGATAGAAAAATTTTAAGCATTGCAAATTGCTGATAAAAACTGATGCAGCATTAAGACTGCTGATCTGAGACTGTTTTACTGTATCTCACATCTGTAATTTATTACTTTAAAGTCTCTTGCATGTCATGTCAGTTGTATGTACTGCAGAAGGGCAGTACCATATTTTGACTGGGTATTGATTTAGTTGTGGAGCTTTGTATCTTTACTCTGGAAGAACATTTAGCCTGCTTTATTAAAGAAAGAATTAACAAACTTTCTGGGTTGTGTTTGTGCTGTTTTCTCAAAAAAGAGGGAAAGCTTTTTGGCTAGAATACTGGAAGTAAAATTTCTGAGAGTTAGGATGATTAAAACTTTAAAACTCTCTATATAAGCACAAAGTTTATTAATACTTTAATCAGATTTTATGTATGTAATCCAGGGAATAAAACTGCTTGTCATTTATCTCAACTAAATATTATAGTATATTTCCTGTTTTACAAAATTTCTTGTATCTGAAAATGAACCAGTATATAACTATTTACCATGACATAATTTCTCTGTAATTTCATGAAGCTCGGTATAGTGTCATCATTGTTTCTCAATAACCATGCTGGTATCTATACAGTACATTTCTGAATCTCTATACTTGAATTCACATTATGAACTCTTTCCCATGATTCTCCAGTATGTTCTCTTTAAATGGCATAGAGGCAACTATTTTAAAGATTATATTTCATATTTAAGGTGTGTTTGTACCTGGCAGTTACAATGTCATCAGTTCAAATACATCCTAATGTGAACAGATTTTCAAATTCTTAATGTCAGCCCTTAAATTATACTTTTGATTTTGTGTTGCATGTGTTGGTCTAGAATGGATGGTTCTAATGGTTTATTAGACTTGAAAAGGTACAATTTCATAAAATAAACTTAATTTGGCTACAGAATAGTAATTACACTGTCTTGTAATCTGTGCTGTTCTTTTGAGAGTAATTATATACAGTCTGTGCATTAGTGTTTGCTGTGTCCCCCAATCTGCTAGACTCTGGCTTTAGTAGTTAGCTAAATTTAGAGATGAAAGAGCATGAAAAAAGGTCATTAAAGTAACAGCAACTTGAAGCATGCACACAGGCAACTTGCTGTCCTGCTTCTCACAACTTATTTAACCACTGAAATGGTAGGGGAGGTTTTAGGTATGTGGGAGGATCCTGCAAGAGGCAAAGTGCTTGACTGTAGAAACAGACAATGAGTGGAAGGGATGCATCTTGAGACTCTGAAGTTATGGGTTCTTTAGGGCAGGAACCATGTTTTTCTCTGATGTTGTACAACACAAACACTGTCAAAATTAGGATAACAACAATAATGATATACTCATTATTTCACCACATTTTGCTCTTTCACACTTCAAGCTAGATTTAATCCAGTAACAGTAACTCAGCTGACAGCAGCAGTGTTGGAGCAGCAGAATCTGGTCCCACGCTGCTGAAATAAGTGCAGATGAGGAACAGTAGTTTAAATAAATAAATTAAAACCAGAGAAACCTCACACCAGAAACAGGACTATAATATTGCCAAATACAAAAAAGGTAATTTTTTCCCAGATATATACAAAGTATAAAAGGTATTTTCTAAACTGTGCTTCAGGTAGCACTTGTGTAACTTGTTTGACTACACCAGGTAGGTTTGTGCAAACCTATCTTTGTTTTTAACTTTTAAAAGCCTAGCTGATGCTAGGATGTGGGAAGTATTAAAATATATCAGCTGCAGAGGGAAGACATTGTGGTTCTATTTTCTATGAATGGTACGAATTTGATCCTTCAAATCCTGCTGATTTAACACTTTCACTGTCTTCCATGGTAACAACATAAAAAAACTGTAATCATTTCCAGAGATCTGATGGGAACTCCACTGCTTAAGTCATCACATGCAGTTGTAGAGCTTTGAGCTGAGAAAGTTTTCACATCTTTGCCTTTGACTGTGAGTTTTGGGAACTGTAGCAAAACCAGATGTGTCTGAATTTTTAACTCATACAAAGAAACATTTGAAGATATTACAATTATCATGTCAGTATTTGAGACTTTCTGGACTATAAATGCTACATAGTTTCAAGATGGAAGACTAGTTGTCAAAATATCTTGACTGCCCACCTGCTGTGTTAATTGAATTCAGCAGATGGGGAATATAGCAGCATTTCCAGACCATCATTAAACTGCCCTTTCAAGTAAGAGTATATCAAGCAAACAGATATTAGAAGGCAGATTGTCAGTGGTGTCATACAGCTTTCTGGATAATATATATCTCTCTGCAATAGTCAGGAACATGCATCATTTCTGTCCACAAATGGAGGGGCTTGCAACATTCTGGAACACATGGCAGAAAACGTAAGTGAATGTGAGCCTGTTCATAAAAACATTTTTAAAACTTCAAGGATTAGAATACACCAAAACAATTTTTAAAATATAAAATAAATATATACAAAGCATATTTAGGCTTGCAAAGATTATCAGGTTTCAAAAAAGTTTCATTTCATTTAGAGAAATTTGATGGGACTCCAGCCTCCAGGTGATAGCACAGGGTGACTTACAGAAGCACCTGTAGGAGGTTGGGACTGCAATGAACTTCTTGTGCTTCAGACCTGAAACTTTCAAATTCTGGAGAACATTAATTCCAGTGTGTAAGCAATGAATTGCACATGTTTACTAAGTTGCAAAGAAGCCATGATGGGGGAATTCCTCAGCAGACCCTCTTTCCAAACTTCTTTTGTTCTCATTTCCCACAGTCAAGCCCATCTGACAATTTTGTGGTACCCATAAAAATTTCAGCTGTTTCATCTTCTGGAATAACTGAATTTTCAGTCACTGTGACCAAAGTTAGCTGTTAATCATCTCTGGACTCTAATACCCTATGCCTGCAGTCTGGCCACCGGCCCAACCAGTGTGCTTCTTGTTCTCATGTAAAATCGGAAATCTTATGAAAATGTCACAATACTTCTGTGGCAGGTGGTATCCATATTCAGTCCTCATTACTTCCCTGGGGTAAAGTTTATTGCAAGTTTTATTGCCTAGTATTTTCTCTAGCCATACTTCCATTGTAATTCTTACAATCAAGAAAAAAAAAATAGAAGATCTTGGCTTCGCTCAAAAATACTTGGCTTTTTCTTTTATGCCTCTACTGGTAGAGTCTCCTTGCTGAGCATTTTTGGTTCTGTTTCTTGTAAAACAGCCTATGTATATTTATACTGTTTGTGGGGTACTGATATATGTTTTCTTTTAAAATGCTGAAACAAAACACTTGATTTCTCCAAACTTTTTCTCATAATAAATGGGACTTGAATTAAGCATAAACTTAAAAAAAAAACTATGAACAGGAATAGTGTCTGTTTTCAATTTCTAGAAAACATCTTTTAGTAAACACACTGGGGGGCAAATAACGCACTTAACCAAACTATGCCATTTTCTTTTAAAAAAAAATTAAATTCACTATTCCACCTGGTGAAACCATGGAGAGGGAGAGCTCTATGTGGGGCAGGGTGCTCCTGGGCACAGGGGAAGGTGGCCTATGGTTGTGCTTGGAGGAAATGCAGGACACCCAAGGTCTTGCCACACTGGCATGTGTTCCCAGGTCTGGAGCATGGGAAGACCTATTCTTGTGCAGGGAACACAGACTGAAGTGTTGCTGGACAGATGGAGGATCAGAAGATGCAAATTGGTGTGTTTTACCTTCCATGGATCTTTAAGCTTCAGAGGAAATAAAAACAGGAAAGCAATTGCAAGCATCATTAACTGTGCTGGCATTGCAGTCACTGAAATATGCTTTCCTCAGTATTTTCTTTCTGTGGGATGCAAATTTTGCATCGTAGAGGGGCTTATAAAGAGCAAATAAAAATCTGTTTTTTCATATTCTGACATTTTTGCTGTATGTGAATATTATGGGTTTTTATTATTGGTGTATATGCACATAGGGATTGCAGCAACTTCCCTCCTCTCTTCTCCATGTATCTGACATTCTGAAGGAAGCCAAAGAAAAGAGAGAGAGAGACAGAGCATCTTTAAAATTCTTGTAATCTAAGTGCTGAGTTTTTATGTGATTGTACTAGTATGCTTGGTAGCTTGCATGAGTAGAAAACCAATGTCTATTAAAACATACTGGAGAGAGAAAAAGCATCTACAATTTTTCATCTACATGAGCACTGTGTGTTTTGCTAGTGCTTGTTAAGTTGCATCTGGCCTTATTGGAGGAAGTTATATGATGAGTATGCCTTCTGCAAGTTTTGGGTTTTGTTAAAGAAATAAAATCAGTATTGCTTGTGCATATAAGATTTCTTATTGTTTTCTAAAATGTTTGTTCTCTGAAAATATATTTTTGTTGTGCTTCTATAAGATATGTCAAGAGTTTTTCTTCCTCACCATCCTCTGTCTTTTGTCTACACCGTGCCACGTGCACAACTTGCAGAACTATCTCATCTCCCCATCTCTGCTTTCCCTTCCCCAGGTTGGCATTTAGGAGAGATCCAGTTGCAAATAATTTGGGGAAAACTGCACCAAGAAATGTGAGGGTACAATACAAATTGCAGCCTGACCCAAATGAGCAGGTCACACCTTGCCAGCAAACATTTACTGGTTCTCTGATCTTGCAAGGCCACAAGCACACCAAAGGTCTCAGGCTGTTAAGTCTGGCCTCATGTGAAGGAGGAGCATTCGTAGGAAGCAATCTACATGATAGAGCAGTGTACCATTATTTGAGAATACCTGTATCCTTTACCTTCAAAATCAGAAAACATGAGCCTAACCTTCAGCAAGTTTATAAAATGCACAGCAAAGACCTCAAGCACAGAGAAGCAGCCCAAAATTCTCACATTTCATAAACCTGTCAATGCACACTGGATGCTGCCATGATCAAGATAAAGATGTGCTGTGGGCTGGTGATAAAAATATGAACTCCAGTTTCTGCTGCAAAATGCTGATGAGACCAAATAGAACCATCAGGTAGAAGCAAGGTGAGTTCTTCCTTCAGAAAGAAACAGTAAAAGTTTTAAGTATGTTACTGTGATACTCTCTAAGAGAAAGTGACCCTCTGGTTCAAAATTATTTCAGTTAGAAATTTTATGTAATCCTTTACAAAAAGTACAAAAGGTGAAATATATACAAAACTTTTAAAACTAATATATTTCAATTCATTATGTTTTAAAATTCCTTCATAAAATCACTGTTTTTTGGATGGAGAGGAGCTTATCTTTAATAAGAAATAAAATCTATATGAGGCAGAGTGGACCAGTGCTGCGGGATGATCCTTGGGAACAGAGCCAGGCAAGTTTAAAACTGAGAGATATTTAAAACAGAAAGTGGGGCTTTGCTGCTTCCACTCAAAGGCAGGACTGGTATATTATGGGGCTGGCTGCTGGAGGTTGGTGCTGACCTGAAAAAATCATTCTTCTAGGAGGGCTGGTAAGCAGCACTGTCAGGGAGGGCTCATACACTAGGCAGGTGGAGCTGTCTGTCTGTTTGTTGTCTCTGTACGTCCTGTACACTATCAAAACCATTAGTTGTATGGTTGGCATTCACCATATTTTGGATGAAAGACCAGTAGGTTAACCCAAGGTTTTAACAGTGTGCTGGACAATCTTCTCTCTAACCTTATCACACTTGCAAGGCCACCATGGGGAGAGGTAAACCCCCAATTCCAGAGCCTGCAGTGCAGACCTAGCCTGCTTGGGTCAGATCACCCTGGGTGTGAATCAGCACACTTTGACTAATGCCCACAGCCACAGGAGCTTATTTGGATCAAGGAATGCTGCTTTTTATCCAACATCTGCTGGCCTAGATAACCATGTGCATCAATGGCTCATCACAGGGCTTGGGGGTGGCGCTGCAAGCCAGCAAGTCAGGGGAACTCAAATGGTCTCCAGAAGCAAAGGCACCACAGGGAAGTTTTGATCTATTTTTGATAAGAGGATC